GTGCCCAACCCGCTTATGCCCACCTATCTCGCCCAGCGTAGCAGCACCCCGGGCACGCTCCTCATCTCGGAGTCGACGTTCATCAGCCCCGAGGCCGGCGGCATCGACACCATACCGGGCATCTGGTCCGCCAAGCAGGTCGCGGCCTGGTACAAGGTCAGTTCGTGCTGCAGCGTGAGACGGCCATAGCGGAGGGTGCTGACCATTTTGTTGCAGGCTACAGAGGCCGTGCACGCGAAGGGTGCCTACATCTTCTTGCAGCTGGGCGCTACGGGCCGCAGTGCCCAACCCGCAGTGATGAAGAGGGACGGATTACCCTACGTGTCGGCCTCTGACATCCCACTGACGGGCAGAGATGGCACCCCGCGCCCGCTCACCATCGCAGAGATAAAGCAGTACGCCTGGACATTCGCCGCCGCCGCCGCCAAGGCCATCGCAGCGGGCTTCGACGGCGTGGAGCTGTCCGCCGCGAACGGCCACCTGCTCGACCAGTTCCTACAGGACATGTCGAACAAGCGCACGGACGAGTACGGCGGGTCCGTCGAGAACCGCGTGCGCTTCGTGCTTGAGGTGGTCAACGCGATCACGAAGGTCGTCGGCGAGAAAAAGACGAGCATCCGCGTGAGCCCGTGGAGCCGCTTCAATGGTGAGTTTCCATCCATCCGCCTTGCCACTCCCTGCATCATCAGGCATTGTGCTCACGCGCGCTTGCACGAATAGACATGGGCATGGACGACCCAAAGCCGACGTTCGCGTACCTCGTGCAGCGCCTCCACGACGAGTATCCAGACCTCGCGTACATCCACGTCATCGAGCCCCGCGTCGACGGGCTCGTGACGCGCGAGCACGGCGCGCCGGCGGGCCAGTCGAACGACTTTATCCGCGAGATCTGGGCGCCGCGGCCGCTCATAAGCGCGGGCGGGTACGAGCGCGCGTCAGGGCTCGAGGCCGCGGAGCGCACGGGCGAGCTCATCGCGTATGGCAGGTATTTCGTCGCAAATGTACGTGTCTCTTGCATTGTGTGTTCGTCTGTTGAATTGGTGTCTGATGACTGTTAACTTCGATTAGCCCGACCTTCCGTACCGCCTCAAGCATGATATTCCGTTGACGAAGGGGGACAGGAGCAAATACTATGTCCGCGGGGCGACAGACGAAGACGGATACACCGACTACCCTTTCGCAGCGGACAACAAGAGCGCCGTAGATTACTAATAGACGGTTTATTGCTAGCTACAGAACAGTAGATATGACGCAAAACACACCATTTACATATCGTCATCGCACGTCTTGACCCCAGGCTTGATCCGCCACCGCATGGGCTCCCATATGTATTCCTTGCCGTTCTTGTCCACCTTCTTCACGTCCTGGAGGCCAGGAATGAACTCAAACTTCTGGTCGCGCCAGTCCGGCCTCATCTTCTCCACCTCGTAGTTCGAGTGCCCAAACCCGCGGAAGAATGGAGGCGGGTCTTCATGGAATTTCCGCCAGGGCGATGGGTTATGCCAACCATTCTCCGCTAGGAAGAGTCGCGCATCCCTGAGCTCCTGGCAATCGACACTGAGCTCGTCCCACTCTTCAGGGCTCTGGTGAGGGGGAATGACGCGTGCACTGCCGAAATCGATGAGCACCGGGTGGTCGATGTCGTCGCGCCTGATGATGACGTTTCGCGGCGCGATGTCGTTGTGAATAGCACGCAGGGCCCGGAGCTTGCGTATGATACTGAGCAGCCCCTGCGAAGCACGCTCGGCGTCTTCATCGGACAGATCTTTGCGGACTTCGAGCTTTTCCATGCTCGGGCCATCAATATACTCCACGAGAACCCCGTTGATGTTCGCAAGCAAGGGATCGGTGTCGTCGGTTGCGTCCGGGGTGCGGTAGCGACAGGTGCCATACATGCGCGGGATGTCGCGGCCTTGCAGCGACCGGAGATGTCTGTAGGCAGCGACTTCCCTGCGAAATCCTGTCGCAAAGGCATCCCATCTGTTCATTTCGGGCATCCAGTCGTCCTCCCACTCGGGGTCGCCTGGGGCAATTGTCCCGTACCTAACACCGGGCCCACCAAGCGTAGTCCAAATGTTCTCTGTGGCGCCCGTTCTGACCTTGTTAAAACCGCGTTTGAAAGCGGCGTCCACGGCGGTGGTCCACGAAGAGCGCGGAGGGACGTATTCCAAGCCATTCGTCGAGAACCTATGGTCCACCAGTTTGAGGACTAGGCGTGAGGGAAGATCGTGCCGTGTTGAAATGGGCTCGACGACCATGCACTGGGCGACTGTGAATGGCTCGAAAGTCTTGATGACGTGGACCTCGAGTGGAACAGGCGTGCCGCAACTGCCTTCCTGCGTGTATTCGAGTTTAAGATTGGCTCCCAAAGTATATGGACACGGGATGGGCACGCTGGTTCAGATGATCGACCAACGTGATAAGTTTATGCTAGAAACGCTAATAAACATGCCACGTACGAGAGCTGGGCAGCATCCGTACTGTACCGAGACCTCAGGGCGAGAGGTTGGCCAGCAGTGCACATGGAGTTGCCATGCTGAATGCGAGCCAAATGACACGACCGCTGAAAGCGATTGACCCGACGAACTGTCAGAGACGAAGTTGTCGACGTGGATGACTTGGGACGTGATCCGAGGCGTATGCTAGCGACGTAGAGTCGCATCGACGGGTCGTTGTGGAAAGCGCGCTGTTCAGAGAAGTCTCAAGGACCGACAGGCGTAATCTATTGCGACAAATGGCCAGCGTCTGCGCTGCGTCAGTCCTACCCAAGCTTCGATCCCGACGAGACCTCACCACCGAAACTTAGTACAGACATCGAGCTTTCTTCGCCGTGCGTTGAGACTTGTTGAGACTCGTGGCGACTCTCGAGATCCAAAAATGAGGTAAATATTGAGGTTATGTTTGCCTTATGATCAATGAGAAAGCAAAAGAAATGGTAGTCGCGGTGCAAAGCTAAGATGAATTGCCTCCGAGTCCGCCTTCGTGGAACAAAGTTCAGCGAACGTGGTTGCCTTCGGACTTCCTGCCACAAAGTTCTTGCAATTCGCCTCCTCCGCCATCCACGACCCCATATGTTCTCTTATCTTATTCACCGCTTTCCAAGCCCAATATACGCTACTGATGTTGTACTGCAAAGTGGAACACCACAAGCACATCAAAATCGGCGAAGGATCGTTCAAATGACCTGGCGTGCAGTGCCCTGTACGGGTGTACCGGCCACTGGCAGGCACCAAGGCTAATCAGACTTGCCATCCTACGCAATTTACGGTTTGTTTATGCTCCAAATCCCAAGGCCGAAGGAAAGCTGATAGTTTTACAGGAAAACTGTCCCCCGGGATGGCCGAGCGACATTGGCCTTGGAAAGTGGACCGAAATATGGACGGAATATTGGAAAAAGAAGCCGATGCTCCCCCGCACTTGAATTGTGGCGCGAAACCCCGCTCGCCCGTATATAAGCCTCCCCGCCGTTCTGGTTGAGTTTCTGCAATCCTAGTCTCACCCACTTCGATTACAGTCGCTCCTTTTCCCCTCCTCTCTCCCCTTTACAAACTCTCCCTTCCCCCGTCCCCATCCCGCCAAAATGAAGACCGCCATTTTCACTACCCTTGCCGTGGCTGCATTCTCCGGTGTCAGCGCATCGCCCACCAAGCGCGCGGTTGACGGTGCGGTTCATCTATTCACGCGCTGGCTGGTTTGCTCGCGAACTGACTGACGCGCGGCACGTAGATGCTACGATCCTCAACTATGCGTTGACTCTCGAGCACCTCGAGAACGCGTTCTACTCGGGCGCGCTCAAGAAGTTCGACGAGCACGCGTTCACGAAGGCGGGCCTGCCCTCTTGGGCGCGTGGCCGGTTCGAGCAGATCGCCGCTCATGAACAGGGCCACGTCGACTTTTTGACCGCTGCGCTCGGCGACAAGGCGACCAAGCCTTGCGAGTACAACTTGTGAGTAGCTGTCCTCCCACATGACTCACACTGCGTGTTGATTATTCGGGACAGCCCGTACACCGACCCCAAGTCCTTCGCTGCCCTTAGCCAGGCTCTCGAGGGTACCGGTAAGATATTTCACCGTTAGATTAAATTTCGTTGCTAAAACATTGCATAGGCGTATCCGCGTACCTTGGTGCCGCCGCGCTCATCACCGACAAGTCCTACCTGACCGCCGCCGCCAGCGTCCTGACCACCGAAGCGCGTCACGCCTCGTGGGTCGCCGGCGCCGTCAACAAGGCCAACTCCTGGTCCGGCGCTCTCGATGTATGTATCCTCATCCCGAATCGTTGACAACCACTGACTAACGCGCACATGCAGGTTCCCCTCAGCCTCAACCAGGTCTACACCATCGCCGCCGCCTTCATCACCTCGTGCCCCTCGACGAACCCGGCCCTGCCCGTCAAGGCCTTCCCGGCCCTCAGCCTCCCGTCCGCCGCGCCCGCCAAGACCGTGAAGGCGACCTTCAAGAAGCCCGACGGCCTCGCCGACTCGACGCCTCTCTTCGTCGCGTTCTTCACTGGCCTCAGCCAGCAGGTCGCGCCGCTCGCCAAGGACGGGTCGGTCACCATCCCCACTGACCTCGTCGGCACCGTCTACGCGGTCGTGTCCACCAACAACACGCAAGCGACCGACGCGAACATCGTCGCTGGCCCCGCCATCCTCGAGTTCGCGTTCAACTCGGACGGCACTGCGGAGAACTAGGGTCGTTACCTACCTTCATGATCGAGGTTGATTAGCATTTTTACGCGTGTCGCCTTTCCGCCTTTCCGCCTTGACTTTTTTCTCTTCTTGCACGTTTTCTCCATTCGTCCCGCGTTGTCGTTCTGTGCCTGTCGTAGTCGAGGCTGGTTTGCGTAATTCAACGCGACAATCATTGTCCGTTGCCCACTGTCCTTTCTGTTCAAAATGCACGAAGTTCATGACCACTGCCTTGCCCGTCCTACCCCATGAGATCTTCCGCGCTAAAGAATTTGCCTTTGTCCTACACTTTTTCGAGCCGGTCTTCCACAGCAGCGTGGCGCAGTGGAAGCGCGCGGGGCCCATAACCCCGAGGTCCCTCGATCGAGACGAGGCGCTGCTAAGTAGATCTGATTTTTTTCTCTTTTTGTTTATCGAGTCATCGACCATCGGGATAACGCGTCTGTTTATTGTCACGTTACCGTGTTGTGGCGCAAAAAAAAACGAACGGGTTTTCTCCGTCAAGTTTTTTCTTTCTCGCGTCGTCGGGATTCTTGTCTACCTGCTTGTGCTCGGCAAAACGCATGAATGCGTACCACATCTCTTGGTCTGTCAAGGCGAGAAAGTTAAAGATTAAAGACAACGAGAAG